GCTTAACAAAGTACAGTTGAACTTCATCTCAAAAAAAAGAAAAAGACTCTGCTATAAATTTGCTTCGAGAATTTTTTCAGTTGTGAACTTCCTCTAACTTGTGCAGTTCTTCAATGAAAAATGTTTGTAACAATGCATTAGAGTTACTCATTATTGAAAGATTTCAAAACTGCGAAAATCCACCACACATATATATATATATATACCACATATATGGTGAAAGGTATGTAATTGAATTATTCATGAAAATTTTCTTTATTTTTCTGAAAGATGTTTTTATTCGAGTTAAAATTGGTAGATACATAGGCTTTGAAAATTAAACTGAGGAAGGCTTAACCCTGCATGTGTTTTTAATTAGAAACAATGGAAATGTATAGGTCTTGAGGGATTTGGCCAGAGGTTAGTGATAAATTTGACTTAAGATTGTTTTCAACTTAAGGATATTTCAATTAGAGGGGGTTCAACTTTATGTAAGACATATTAGTATCCGAACAACCTCTGGAGAAGGTGTGACCTATACTTGACTGCCCAATGTTTTTGTTCTTGTATATATTTAAAACTTTAAATATACAGTCAACCCCCGTCTAATGGACTTGATTTGTGCAAGGGAAGGATTTTGTCTGTTGGGCGGGAGGAAAAACTGCTTGTAGAGCTGGTCTGTTTGGCAAAAATCCCTTACACGGGAGGTCTGTTAAGCGGGGGCCACTGTATACGACAATCAAATTTGGAAAATTATGTTCAATACTTTCAGCTGCACCTCACCTGTCAAAATAAATTTGGTATTTGAACATGCCTAATGAAGTAGCATAATCATATAACTGCACAAATAATATATTTCAACACAAATATCAACGGTCTGACACACCTTTGATGGTTTAAGCCAAGTTAATAGATAATGCAAATGCCATTAGAGCATCACTGATTGAAAATTTTTATTTTGATGTCGATGATACCCAACTGAGATGATTATATACATAAAGTACAGTACTGTGCTGGCATTGGGTTATTGAAGAAATTCATTAATAAAATCAATAACAATACCTTTCAATTATGTAAGCATTTTATGAGTAAGCTTTGGTTTTACTACAACTGTTTAAATATCAGAATGTTTACAGTATAAGTAAGGACCACATATTCTACAGTTGATGGCGCATTTTGACTTTGCAGAATTCAAGAGCAGTCACATTTTGCAACAGCCATGTTAGCTCTTTGTGTAGTTATGCCTGCTGCAAGGGAACATTTTCTTGGTCCTGTTCGTGTACCGTACTGTAATTGTACGCAATTTTATTGATGCATTCATCTGGCTGACTTTTTTATTTTCTCCATCTCTCTTACGTGCTTGTCTGTGACATGATTTTGTTTTATTTGATTTTCCATACCCACCTGTTTCAGAGTTTATCTCCTCCGTCTGCCAGAACGCGTTCCCTGAAATAGAGAAAAACAATAAAGGGGAGGTTTATATAAGAGCAACAACCAAGAAAAGAAGCTGAACAATGATGAGATGAAGCGTTTGTGACGGAGTATAAAAAAAAAAAAGAGCCAAACGCAGTGTTTTTGTTGTTGTTGTATTGTTTTTCATTGTGTCCGTAATTGTAGGAAAGTTCTGCCCAAAATGCTTGTGTCCCAAGATTTGCATTCCTTGATTGATCCGCGTGTCACTGAGAGATGTGCTCGGATTGGAAAAAACGCTGTGAAAAAAAAAAGAAAGAGAGAAAATGAATGAACATAAACTGCGGAACTTCCTTCAAGAAGAGGAACGGACTTTTCCTGGTGTTGAGGGCGGAGGAAATAGACCTTTTGTTCTGTGGTGCTATATTTGAGGTCTCCATTTCTGCTAGTCTATATATACACTTGATTTTTTTTTTTTGCAACTCCATGGAAAGCCAGACGTTGAAAATTTGTTTGTGTTTGCGTTTCCTGCTCCGCAAATGATGACTAATCCCTTTGGTGGCTCTTGCTGTAAGTGCGGGTGAAATTTGTAGAGTGGCCAACAGTTGCGACCAACTTTATGCCCCTCGTGAGGCCTATAGAGATATTTTTCCCTGAAGGAGTTTGATGACAGCTGCCCTGAAACAAACCTGTGAGATCGTTTTCCCGCGTCATTTATTGGAACTAACTTTGTGCTGGGCCATGGGTTCCTGGTCGATGGCTTCATTTTTGTGCATGCTGCTGTTTCCCTGTTCAGTGACAACTGCTGAGGAGGATGAATCATTGTATCAATCGTTGGCGTTTTGGTGTCAACCAATGGGGGTTAAATTTGTGTATGTAAATGAAGCAATACGCTTTGAAAAAAAAAACGTTGGCTTTTTCATTTATATGATCATCAGATTTATGTCATGTACAGTATATCCACTCAAGTGCGAGTACAAAATAAGTATGTGATCATTTTGCTTATACAGTATTATTAATACTACGTACTTGGAGTGTAGAACGGCAATCAATTTCAGCCTCAGTATGGCATGTTTTAAAATGAACACAGCCATTTTTATTGCACTTTTCGGACTATAATGTACAGCAGTATATTATCGGTTGAAACACAATCGCAGCTCACACAGAATTATGCTGCAAAAAACTCTTTTATGACTGAATACTTCCCCATCATTTTTTATTTTATAGTGGAAGCATTTGTCCTCTGTATATATGACCATACAAATCAAAAATTTCAGAAACAAACACTATTGGCCAAATATTCTACTAGCTGTTGAAGTAAAATTTATCAATTGTTAGCTTGTACTGGTGGAATGAGTGTTATATTTACAATGAAATTTAAGTGCCCAGAAAAATTTATTATAGAGCTATAACATGGAGAGAGCAATATATGTGACACAAAAATTATATACTGTACCAAGAAAATATTTGTAGACAAGATTTATGTAGAGAGTCCACCTGTACATCCTAAATAATAAAACAAATTGCGTCACAGCAAATCCTAAGTACTGTATTTGCACTATTAGACCCCTGGTATCAAATACTGCAGACTGGAATAGAGACTGGTCTCATATAAGCACCCAGGCTTACAAACTTTCAGTTTGTGCCTCAGCTGCTTTTTTTTTTAACCCTGACCCATGCAGCTTACAAATTTTGGTTAAATCAAATGTTAACAAGTCTGAAAATGTTTTCAAGCAATAGCTGGGAATTCAAATTCAAACTTCTGATTGCTTCAAAATGCTCCATGAGAGCCAGAGGATAACTCCATCTATAACACTAAAAACCCATATTGCTGAACATTGCAGTTAAATTCTTGAGTCATTGTTGAATAAAGGGATTGATAGGCCTCAATGTGGGGAACATTTGTTTTTTTTAATGCCCTTCTATCTTAATTGGCAAAATTTTTACAGATCTTCTAAGTTTGGAGAACATTTTAGATATTGCTGTATTTGTTTTCAAAATTTAAACTTTTACTCAACAATGCATCAGCAATTTTCAAGTGAAAATCACAGGTACATTGCCTAGATTAAGACTAACATTTTTGGGGACATTCCAGTGTACATTGGCTAAATGCATTGGCACTGCATTCTTCAAAGATACTCTGAATGGGCAAGAGTATTTCTTACTCAAAGCATTGTGTGTACCCATTGACCATGAGATCTGCAATGACTTTCATCATCGCCTTCATCTCCAACATTGTGTACAATGTGCTGACAATGCATGCTGCAATGCCTTGCTTGAAATGGCAAAATACAGGAGCATTAGCATGAAATCTGAAGAATTGCATAATGCATTTCAGAATGCATTGGCAGGGCATTACCTCAATGTCTGCTGGCAGCCCTACACCCTGATTATTTGCTTGGTACCCTCTGAAAACCATTTGCTAGCATTATCCTTCACAGCTACAAAATTAAAAGCTTTAAATTGTGCACGAATTTTGCAACAATTGCTTATTTGATATCATTTGTTGTGGTTATAACTATGAAAAGATATTTTGATAAAATGTTCAATATGGGAATTTTTAACATTTTGTTTGTTCACTAAGTTGGCAGTATCCAGTAAAACCATGCAGAAATAGCACAAATAAATTTATTCCAAATTTTTGACAATTGCTTATGCAAGAATGGATGTTTTAGTGGTTTTCGTACTTCACATGCAGATTTTCTCATATGTATAAATTCATTCAAGAAAACTTATTAAAGAAAAGTATATATTTATTAAAGAAAGAAATTTTCAAATAGCTCTATTAAGCATTTTTGGGTCGATTTTCATAATTTTAATGGGAAATTCCATGGTTCTGGCACTTCTGGGACCAATTAAAATTAATTCTGTACCATTGATACCTTCTCATTTTTGAAGAAAAACGCATCAGGGAGCCCGTCGGGTCGACCACAACACACGCATGCCAAACAGAGTGACATCTACATGACATTAGAAAAATCACCCTTTCCGTTTCCGCGACATGAGAGCATACACGGAGTAGGACAGAATTCAGATGCTCCCTGCATCAACGCGCGCAGCGAGTTCGACTGTGTATTTAAAAAATGTCCGCGCTCTTGTTAGCAGATGAACGGAAATGTTGATCTCACCTGGAAGATCATCCAAGTGTCCAACATTTATTGTTTTATGCATTGAATCACGAAGATTGACCGAAGTATGTCTCATGGTAAGAATGCGGAAGTTCCTCTTCGATATGATAATGTCTCATAAGCGGCTATACTAAAGGCGGGATGTGTCTGCCAATGGGCGTTGGCGTGGATTTTTTGTGTCGCATGAGGATAGGTGCGAGGCCTCACGCGGTTTCGTGCAATGAAGCATTTATGAATTCACAGTGAATCTTTCTACCATGACGCTGTCATTCGAACTACCGGAGTGCGCTGTGGCTTCGTTCCGTTAACCTTGAAAACGTCTTCGTTCCAGAGAGACAATTTGTGTATTGTTTATGGAACGTGTAACGAAATCTCGCTATTCGATATGTGAGGCGTCCATCCCACGAAAGGATGTGACCGCAGCTTCGGCTCCGAAGACCACGAGGATTAACCTCGTGAAGGATTGCATTCATTGCGTGTCGCATGAATGCTAGAACGATGTCTTCATCGTCATTTTCTATGAAGCGGCGGCGTCCGCCGTCCAGTTCACCATCGCCAGCTTCTGCCTCGCCTTCTACGCGCGGTGGCTCCGTATCATGTGCGGAACTGCCTCCTGCGTTCAACTCTTCATCGGGTTGCGCTGCGTCGAAGCCCGAGCCTGCTGAGCTTTACCGGAAGGACCTGATTTCTGCTATGAAATTGCCAGACAATGAGCCACTTGCTCCGGATGAATATTATTTCGTCCAAGATTCTTGGAAACAGGTAATGATCACGAAATTCTATGATGTATTCATTGCTTAACATTTTTGTCGCCATCAGGAATGGGAAAGAGGTGTTCAGTGGCCTGTGAATCCGGATTATCTTCCTGAAGCTCAAGTGAAAATTGTTGAATCTGCTGGAAGTTCCCGAGGGGACTTCAAGCCCCCAAAAAATAGGTAAGCTTTAGAAACTTATGCTATTTTCGTAGCAGGCTGGGTTGCAACACATGTATTACTTTTTCTCTCAGGTACATTCATCTACGGGACGATGACCAGTTTTCTCCGTCGCGGCATTACTTGTCGAAAGCCGCTGTTAAAGCGAACAAAGTATGCAAATATGATTTAGACGAAATTGACTTGCAGTGGATAAGCCTATTGAATCGGTGAGTCCCTCGCGATTTTTTTGCCATTTCATTTACTCAGATCTGAAATGTATGACTCTTCCTTTTGAACTTCAGGAAAATCGAAATATATGGTCTATCCCCCGTTTCCGAATCAAAACTGGAACGGGTCATCGAAGCGCTAGAAATCTCAGCCCATCGATCTATACGGCGGAAAGTGGAAGCCGAGATTGAGAACCTGGACTATCTTCCTCCTGAACTTAGTCTAGCCTTGCCCGTGTGTGATGTTTGCCGATGCTCCGATTCGGAGTCCGGAAATGAACTCGTGACGTGCTCGAGATGTCGAGTGTGTGTGCATCAAGCGTGTTACGGGATTTTGAACAGTGTACGTAATAAGGACTGGTTGTGTAAACCTTGTTCGCAAGGAGTGAAAGAGCCAGAATGTTTATTATGCACTACTCGCGGATGTGGTGCTATGAAAACTACGAAATCTGGACAACATTGGGCACACGTCAGCTGCGCTTTCTGGATTCCCGAAGCTTCTTTTGGGTATGTGACTTTTTCAGTGTCGAAGTGTTTCTTTATGAGTTTATAATCGGAAGTTTTCCTGTTGTTCTGGAGCCGTTGCAAATGTCCGACTTTATGGTTTACAGGTGCTTCGATAAAATGGAGCCGATCACGAAAATCACCGCGATTCCTCCATCTCGATGGTCTCTAACCTGCGGGTTATGCGGAAAGCAGCAAGGAGCTTGTATTACCTGCTCTGTATCTACTTGTAAAGCGGCGTATCACGTCACTTGTGGCTTTCGACACAGTCTTGAAATGCGGGTCGCGTTTTTAGATGAGTCGAACAATCAGGCAAAGCTCAAGGTTAGATCGAACGGATTGTCATGATGTAACAACTGTTACACTCCGTGTTTTTCTCCGTTTCGACAGTCCTACTGCCAGAAGCACAGCATGAAGAAAGAGTGCGTTTCTGATGGCGAATTCGATCAGCCTGACGTTAAAAAACGTAGACGAGAGCTAACGGATGAGCAAAAAGAACAAGCTCGAGCATTGCGGTACGAATTTGGTGTATTTATACTCGATTTCAAATTTGTGATGAGTTATGATTTGCGTAGCATGCAACAACTGGAGGCGGAGTTCTTCAAGTATGTAGACCAGGTTACAGTAGCTGACTCCGTGGGCCTAGAACCAGTGATCGTCGATCTCGTGTACAACTATTGGTTACTGAAGCGTCGGACGAATTTTAACAAGCCGCTGATAGCCGCCAAGTTCCGCGACACGGACTTGAATGGACACATTGGTCGCAAGAAACATCACAAAAGCCCCGCATCTGATGAGCAGCGTGCCCGATTGCGCGTAATCTTGCATTTACGACAAGACTTGGAGCGGGTGAGAGTTCATTCTTTTTTGTCGCTACGAACGGGTTTACCTAATTTCATTTTTAACGTGTCCGTGTAGGTGCGCAATTTATGTTACATGGTGAGCCGTCGGGAAAAGTTAGTGCGAGCTTTCTTCAAAACTCGGGAACAAACTTTCGTGAAGCAAGCTCACGTGCTTAGAGCAGCAAAAATGCTCTCTTCCTCTTCTCCGAATTCGTCGCAAGCCAAAGAAGATAGTGCGCATTTTCTTGACGAAGCTGCAGTGGAAGCAGTTATACAAGCGAATCATGGTCCGTCTATATATGACACCGCCTTCTCGCACGAGAACGCGCGAATGTGTCGGCCAGAGGAGTTCGAAACACTTTTGGCCCGGATAAGTGGTAGCAAAATGTCTCAAAATGGACATTTCACGCCAGGGTTGAAAGATCTCAATGGGGTTTCGCGAGATGTCGGGAGCGGTGGCTTCTTGCTCGACAATCCTTATCGCAGAACGTATTTGAACAGTGCCGAACGTCGCCGACTCGGTTTATCATCCCGGTCTGCGTCCTCAGAATCCGCCTCAGGGTCCTCGACGGCAGCTTCATCCGCATGCTCGTCCTCCGCCTCAGCTTCGGAAGATGAAGATGACAAGACCAAGACGCGGAAGAAATCTCCTGGTGCTGCATTCGACATGAAGAGCGAAAATCACGTCAAGGCGCCACCAATATACACCGACTCTGAAGATGAACGTGATGTGAAACTCTTGCGTGACGCCGGAAACAAAGAAAGTGGGCCGGACATGAGTTCTGATGTTGGTTCGTCTAAATCGAGGCGTCCGTGGTCGAAGACTGCAGGAAAATCGTTACCGGAAAAAGTCTCCAAAGAAAATTTGGAACCGAGTGCAGGCGCAGCAAAGGTCGGCAGAAAACGCGTGACGAAAGCCCAGTTGCACTCCACAACGGAAATGGAGATTTCGAGCTTAGAGGAGGCTGGCTCTCCGGAGCGTGCGTCAAAGAAAACGAAGAAGTTCACCAAAACCCGAGGGAAGAAGGGTGCTGCAGCTTCGTCGGGTGATGAAGATGAAAACATGAACTCGGTGACCAAGGAAAAAACGGAAACGGGGGAAAAGAGGAATCGTTTTTTAGGGAGAGGCAGGCCTCGGAAGTCCGCTGCGACGAAGAGCGTCGAAAGCAAGGACAGCAAGAAAAACTTGAATCAAGCCGCATCCGGGGCTGGGAGCCGAAACGATCTCGTACCAAAAGCGGCATTAGAAACGTCGGAGACATTAGGAGGTGCTGGAATCTTGTCCTACGTTCCGCAGCGCCGTGCGGCAAGAAAAGCAGCTGAAAACATCACCGATATTTCAAAGTCGAAAGACATGATCGAAGAGATGCTTTTGAGAGAAGTTACTGGTGAAGGGGAGCGACGTCAGAAAAGTGTCGTTGGTGATACTGGTTCGGGTGCGAAAAGAGCGTCAAAGTCGGGAAAACGGAAAGACAAGAAATCCATCTTCTCTGCGTCAGATGATTCGGACCTTGATACTCCCGCTCTCCTTCGAGTTTCTAGTGGAACAGAAAGGTTTGTTTTCGTGTTGAATGCTGTGTTTGTGTGACGCTAGGCACCTTTCCGTGCATCGTTTTTAATATAACTTTGAATGTGATCAGGTTGATGACGAAAGAAGAAAAGGATGCCGAGTTTGACCGATTGTTGGGCGAAGCAGCTGGGCGGTCTGAAGACAAAATCACTGCCGGACCGTCGGATACGAAGCTGAAAACTTCGGAAGGGCGGTCTGGCAGGGAGGAGCCTGGGCCGCCTAGTGCCTCGAAGACCACTTCACGCAAGGCTCGTCAGTCAAAGAAGCGCAACAAGGACGTCGTGCCTGACAACTCTACCTCGAAGCCTGAGCAGTGGAAACGACTCGGCGCCGAAACCGAGCGGCTCGGTGTCACTAAGCCTGGCACTGGTGCGAGTTGGCAGAAGCCTAGGAAACGAGTCTCGTCCGGCAGCTCCGCTTCAGGTTAGTATTTTCGTGTATTCGTGAAACCGTCCATTCGACGGAAAGTTGCGCTTCGTGCAATCAATCTTGTCAAAGTGAAGACGACGCCATGCTCGGTAATGCCCTGAAAATTTTGAAGATCTCTGAAAATCTTTCAAATGTGGTGCTTCGAATGTGTGCAGGGTTTGATTGTTCCATTTTTCTCAGCATTATCTTCCGAATAATTTCAAAAGGAAGAGCTAAGTGTGTTGTCTGGTCACAGTCTGAGGAATCTCGTGTATCTGACGCCGCGTAACTTGCGTTCTGTGATCTGCTGTCAATTATTCCTGTAAACCTAGGCAGTGATGTTTGCCGTTTTTCGTGAGTTCGGTCGCCACTTCGAGTGACGGTTTTCCGTTCATCTTGACTTCTCGTGCGATGCATTTTTCCGGAACTTGGCGTTCTTGTGTCATGACGAAGAACGGCAGCGGCCAGTTTTCATCTTTTATGAACTAGATGTTTTTAAAACTTGGGATAGAAGCTTTCCATTTAAAAATCCTTAGGTGCAAACATTTTGTCATTCTGAGTAGTACATTATTCTATAAATGCATGTATGTATATTTATGCTTTCGAGTTAGCCGTGAGTAAATTTCGGACTTCTAATTTTCTTCAGGTACATCTGCCGGTTCCGGTTCGTCCAGTGGTTCTTCCTCGGATTCATCATCCAGATCCTCGTCCTCCTCATCTGGAACTTCCTCGTCTTCCTCGGGCTCCTCTTCATCCTCGTCATCGGAAGCGAGTGATACTGAAACCAAGACCAGTACAAAGGAGCAGACAAAGAGGGAGCGTGCTTCTGGTTCCCCGGCGAAATCTGCGGTTGCTGTCGAATCAGCGCCTGTTGAGATTGCCAAGGAAAATCCCGTTGTCGCTGAACCCGAGATCATCAGTCCGCCGACTCCAGAAGTGGCATTGATCATTGAACCCGAAAAGACCCCCGAACCTGGTGATACTATCCCTGTGGTACCAGAAGCAGCTGAATTGTGTGCGATCAAGTCTCCCGAAAAGACAAAGAAAGATGACAGTAGTGAGTCGAGTTCTTCATCTGGAGAATCGTCATCTTCGGATTCGTCTTCTTCGGGCGATTCTTCGTCATCGGAGGATGAAAAGGAGGAAGAGACGAAAGAGCCTGAAGACGTACCGTTAAGTGAGACTGTGATACAGCCGGAAGCATCAAAGGAGACTGTGCTTGTCGAGGAGGTGGAAGAGGGCGAGTGTTTGGCGTTCGCTTCAGAATCAGTTCCTGAAGTCGAAAAGGTGCCGTCTCCCGCGGCTGCTGCCGTTGTCGACATTGTGTTGGAGCCCAGCGCAGTCGCTGATGCAGAACCTCAAGCCGCTACTTCCATTTTTGAACTGGACGAAGAAGACGCATCTGTGCCCTCTTCGGCGTTGTCGTTCTTGCCACCACCGACGTTTGCATTTGACGGCGAACCTGCGGCGTCATCGCAAGAAACCATGGATCTCGTGAAGCGTCTGCGTCAAAACTATGCCACCCAAGGTGCTCCTAGTGCTAATCAGAAGGCAGCGGAAGATGTCGAAGACGTTGGCAACGTCCTTGAAGGCATCGTGGAATCTCAGGAATCGCAACCTTCCAATTCGAGTGTTGCGCTGGAGGAGGAAGTGGCTAGCTTCGTGCAAGCCAACAGTGCTCAGTTTTCGAAATGGATTGAAACTGTTGTGACGAAAACGTTGCCACCTAGTGATCATCTCGGTTTCGTGTTCCCTATGCACGGGCCCGAGGCGGATCTGTCCATGGACCCGTCACAAGCGGCCGTCATGCTGCCAGATGCATTGTCTGAGCCCGCGGCGCCGTTGCCTCCGTTACCGGGACTCGATTCCTCTGCGTTCGACCAGAATCTGGTTCCAGATTTGGCTTCAACACCAGCGCAGTCGCTCTTGTCACCACCACAAATGCCTTTCTCAACGCTCGTCGGCCAGTTGCCTCCGTTAGTGACGAATGCCTTGCCGACGCTGTCTTCGTCGAATGCTCTGCCGCCTGTTGCCTTACCACTGATGGCCACTTCTGGACCCTTGACGCCTGTGATTAGTGCCTTGCCAAATCCACTCGAGGTGAACGAGCATGTCTCTGCTTTGGAGTTGCATCAGCCTCCATTACCGCAACTGATTGAGGGAGACCTGCAGCCGCCTGTGATGATGACGGTGCAACCAGAGGTGATTTCTGTACCGAGTCAGGATCAGCAGCTTCCGTTGCCTGACCAGTGTTTGCCTGGGTTCCATGATCAGAGTTTGCATTCCTTCCCGGTTAGTTTTATGTTCCATCTTGTGTTGACGCGTGTTTATTTCATTTTCATTTGCTTTGGTTTCATTCCTTCTTCATTTCATTCTGATTTTGGACTTTCACGGTGTATTGCTCTTCTTCACCGTTGATCCTCTTATCTCATGGCGAACGTGTATGATTTAATTTGTTTTGAAAGTTTCCTGGTTTTTTTTTTGGTGTACTTTATTCGTATACCACGCGCATTTCTGTGTATATTTTCAAGTGAAATTATTTCTAGGAGGGGTGTTACATGATTGATGCACATTTTTTAAATCTATAACTTGCCCCTTCTTTTTTTATGCCAATTTTTATCTTAGGTATGCGTGGTATAGGATGGGTGATCAATTTGTCTAAAATTTGAGTTATCGTATCTTGATGTGCTCAGAGAAAATGTGCAGTCATCTACTTCGATTTGAAGTTCTGTAATTTTCTGACACATTTACGTTTTGATTTTCTGCTTGAGCAGGATTGCGGCAACGGCAACCAGCAGACAAAATGGAAACCACTGGCTCCAGCAGCAGAAATTCCTTTGGAGCCCGCAAAACCGTTGTTTGCAGACCTGGACGATCAGCGAAAGCCATCTCCACAACCTCTGCCGGTTCTCGAACATCCCCAACAACTTCCGTACCTTCAGAGCAACGTGCACCATCATCGTGGAGAAACGGAAAGTTTGCTGGTGAAGAAATCGCCGATCGTGAGACTAACCGAAAAGTCCCCAGTGTCCCTATTCCCCGAAAAGGAAAACGTGGACGCTGCAGTGACAGCTGCTCAGGCTCTTGGACCTACGCTGCCTGAAGCGCCGTCATTGATCCAGGTGACAAAAGCAGCGTCTGGCAAGACGCCACGGGCTCAGCGTTCGGTTTCACGCGAGATTTTACAGCATCGTCGCGAGATCAAAGAGCGCAAAAGCACGCTGGCTCCTTCGCGTGTTGCCATTTTCAATCCGAACGCGCAAAGTGTGGCTAAACGAGGACGACCGCCATCTATGTCCATCCCACCAGCTTCATCATCTTCAGCATCCCCGGCGTGGCAAGAAAAACGAACGCCACCGAACAAAACCCCGAAAAGTTTGCTGGGGAGTGTCTACGAGTTCGATGAAGACGATGAGTTTGGAGCTGCTCCTACGAAGCGCGTGGACAAGATTGTCGTGATGGAAGATGCGCAGAAGAGCAGGAGGAAGAGGAACGCTGGTGGCCATCGAACAAACATGCGGCGGAATCGCGGCGGTCACCAGTTCGACCTCGTAGCGCCGCCAACCCCGCCGGCCTCTTCTTCGTCTACTTCACCAGACGTGGTCGCGGAACTCGAGGAAGATGACGACGAAGACGCAGCGGACGACGACGACTACGACAACCAGCATGATGATTACGAGAAGGACGACGATAATCTCGTGCCCGCGATTCTCGTTTCCACGTCTGATTCAATGAAGATCAAGTTGAAACTCATCCCAAGAAAATCGGGTCTCGGGAAGAAGACAACGCCATTGAGAGATTCCCCGGTTTTGGTGATTCGCTCTCAAGAGCAGAGTTCGAGCGAGAAAAAGAAGCGTAGCCCACGAAGGAAGCCCGTTGCATCACCGATTACTTCTCAACGAGAAAGCATAGAATTGGAGCCTGAAATTTTCATCCCGAAAGCGAGTCCGGCAGCGGTCGTCTTGCAGTCTCCGAGGATTGTAATCGTGGAACCGAAACCTCCTGCTGTGCCGGAGCTGGATGCCGATGCGTTGTTCGAGCAGCTTCAGCAACAACAACAACAACAACAGAGACCTCTGCACGATAATAAATTCAGTCCTAGAGTGCCAGCAGCTCAAGCAGAAGTTCCGTCTGTATCGATGCAGGATGAATCAGCGAGAGTCGATTCATTCAATGGGTGAGTTGTGTCCCAAATTGGAACTGTCCCTGCATAGGATAAATGTGTCTTGAAGATCGATGTTTTTTTTAAATCTATTTTCTTACATCATTTTTGTCGTGTGTTGTCATTTGTCTTCGTCAGGAGGAGTTCCAGAGTTGAGTGTGCAGTATTTCCGGTGAACTTCGAACACCTTTAGAATCGCGTGTTCGATACTGCATTGACCCGCGGTGTAATCACAGTATTAACAGAATATTCGCTCTAACCCGGAAGTTGGAATTTATATGTTAATCCTTTCTGTGCAACAGAGGATGCATTTTCTATGAAATTGATTTGCTATAGCTTACTGTACTTTTTATGGCCATCCGAAAGCGAAACGTTATAGAAATCAAGTATGCTGTATTTCAAATCCTGCTTGCGTAGCCACGGTATTGACACCAAGCAAGGAAGCTCATCGAACTTGGCCCTTAGTCGTGGGAAAGTGAAAGATGTTTTCCACGAAAATAGACGCTTTCGCGGGTGTCAAGTATTTCTTTAAATTCAGGAGATTTAATTCAACTCAAGACTTTTTCTTCCACAATTTTACGGTGCAATTGAATCTTTGCAGGCCCTGCACAAGCGGAGTTCCAGAAGCTACGTACAAGTCCCCTCTTGCCTCGGAAACGGGGGCAGCATTTGACGAGACCATTGCTTCGACCGAAATACCAGATGTGCCACCTGGAATCGTTCCTGTTCAAGGAGTTCCTGCGACGTCGTCAAAGTCAGCCGCCGATTCAGTTCATGGAATCGTGGGTTTCTCACCGAGATCAACGCAACCCGTGTCCGTTGTACCGCTGACCTCATTCGCATCAACTTTCGCCGCGTCCAGTCAGCAGATTTCGGCGAATAGCGTCGCGCAGCTCGATAGTTGGCAGAAAACCGCCGAAGCGTTTGCGGCCGAAGCGAAGTTCTTTTCTAGGCCTAGCGAGGACGTTAAATCTGATGACTCATCACGGAATCAGCTGAAGGTGAAGATCAAAGGTCCATTTCGGGATGCGAAGTATTCTCCTCAATTGTCGGGTGCGTCCGGTGCCGGTCCGGGTTTACCAGTCGACGGTCCTGCTGCCATGTTGGACCCGAGTGCGTTTTTCGATCCGGTGTCGATGATTTCTGGGGCCTTCAAGAACCGCGTCGAACCCATGCCGGAGTTCAGTGTCCCGCTGAGTTCTCAGTCCGATATCCCGCCGTCTATTCCACAGCCGGTTTTGCCTCCCCTCACACCTTTCAATCCGCACGATGCGTCGCAGACGTCGTCCACTGTCGCCTCATCGTTGCGTCGCATGCGAAAGAAGGAAATTATCCGGGAATATTGTGCCCAGGAAGATCCGCCGGTTTCATTTTCCTCGATGCCCATGAATTCGCAGTCTGCGTCTTTGAACGCTTCCAGTGGCGGGTTGTCCAGTTTGACGTATCGTCCTTCTTCGATGCCAGGGCTGATCTCACGAGGAAATGTGTCGCAGTTCCGTCAAAGCAAGGCTTCTGGGCCTGCTCCACTCGGACCGCGAATACCAAAAGCCGTTGCCTCCATGGCCATGCTGCCAACGCAGAACGATTATCGAGATTTTGTGTCGTGTCCGTCGTCGCCTCCGTTCCAACCACCGTTTCCTGAATCTCTCATGTTTCCTTTCGAACCCCCGCCGGTGCCGACTGGGAAAGGAAAGAAGAAACGGCGGAAGGGAAGAGGCGGCGGTGGTGGTGTTGGAGCAACTTCAGCAAGTGCCAGTTCTTCTGCTGGAAAGAAACGGCCGAGACGCGGTGGTGTTTCAGCGCGGGAGTTGGCGAGCCTCGGTTGGACAATCAAAGACAAGGAAGATCCAATCCCACCACCGGGTTTGTCTCTTACCCTGCCTCTACCGATTGTGCCCGAAGCCGCGGAGAAGGTGGAAGAAAAGGTGACGCGTGCGAGACAAAACAAGCAGATACCGTGTTCAAATCCCGTGGTTGTTCTGACGAACGTGGACCCAACTTCCGTCATTGGGAAAAAGCTCAAGACGAACCCGGAACTCGGAGAGCAGTTTACGCCAAAGGCCCCGCCAAAGATTCGAATCAACTTATCCAAGAACGAAAGTTTCCAATTCACCGATACGCCGGAGGACAGGGATTCGCACGAGGCATGTGACCCACTCGCGTTCACGGAAGAAGATGCCAAAACCTCATTCCAAAACGGGCCCGCTGATGATATTTCCGCATTGCGTCGAGTCCGTCCTGGTAAACCGCTCAAGAAACGCATCTCGGACGAAGGAGACACGCGGAACGGCATGTCTATAAAGATCCGCGAGGAAAACATGAAGTTCCGCGACAAGATCGAAGCATCTTTCCCGCGGCAAGCCAACGGGACTGCGGAAGGGTCGGGAAAGAAGAGCAAAAAGTCCAAGTCGAAGAAAAGCTCCACCGGTCCTCGGTTGATTTTGAAATTGGGCGGTCGATTGGTGAATAGTGACATCCCGAGAACAGTGCCGATTCCACCGGAGCCCACGTCCCTGTGTTTGCCGCCAGTTGTTCCAAAACTTAAACTAAAGTTGTCGAAGGACCCCGCTGGGGGTTACGTGACGTCGACGTCACAAGCCGCACCGCAAATAGTCGACAACGGCGAGGCTCGGTGATGCGAACTTCATTCCTAAGCGTTAGCAGCAATTTTTCCCCCACTGATGTGTGTTTCTTCCTTCGATTCTCGGTTCACATCTGTCCGCTTGGATTTTTTTTTTCAGCCCAAGGATACTGAGGAGTAGAACGTGAGCAGCTTTGAATCTTGTTGGGCCTCATGACCAAAGTTCTTTGTACTTTTGACTCCAGCGTGTAACTTTTCAGCAGTGACATGGCGGTCATTTCGCCAGAATCGCGTAGACCTCAACATCGACGATATTATCCGTTTGGACTTGCATTTTTGTGCGATTTTGTTGTATTATCATCATTACCCTCGTTAGAAATCAAGCGTTTCTCATAAACTGTTCGTAAGTGTTCTTGAATCAGAATTACGTTGATGCAAAAACAAAAAGGGTTCCGTGGCGTAATTCAAGATATGTATGTACCTTTTAAAGTTATCCGACGAATAATGTCGAACTGCGTAATTGGCTGTTTCGGTTGTAGAATTTGTGCTGCAGAAGACCGTATTAATGTCCTTGTAAGTGTAGTGGTAACCAATGGCGCGGTTTTCGAGCAATATCTCGCAGTAAGAAAAAAGGCTACATCTTTCAGAATTTTGACTAATCATCATAACCAAAAGTTCGTTGGCAATGTATAATCGATTTAAGCATTTATGTATCCCCAGTTGTCACTTTCACATAGCAATGGCTACGGTCTTATTTGCTCAAACTCGTGGCTAGGACGAGAGAGTGTACCGATTGAAGTTTCCAGCTACTGTGAACTTTGTGTTGTTTCTTCTTTCCGTTCCGCGCCGCGGGACGTTAGGAAAATATGTTTCGTGGTCGCGCGATCGAATGTGGAAGCGAAGTTTTGTCAAGTATTAGCGAAATATGGAATTAGTGTTTCAATTGTGGGGAATCGAAGCTCGGAGTATTTTTTTATTCAGATTTTTTTGTTCGAATTTGTGATTAAGTTGGGTTCCGAGCATCAGTGAAGCGCGCATGGCCGTCGGGACAGTCCGGCGAAACTGTTATTCGTATTTTGGATCGAGATTCTGTTCATTTATTTAATTTTGTAAAAGCCGGGGAGAGATTCGGTTCGCTTCGTGTTTATTTTTTGGTTTTCCGTAGTCGTCGCGAGTGACGAATGTTGTGACGGTTTCCCTTGGTGGGGACGCGCTACGCAGCAAATCAGCAGAGTGTTTGACAGGAGTACGTGTTATAAATACCCAGTTCGTGACTTGGCTTCAAGGTTTTTTGCGAGGAATTAAATCAAACGTGCGTTTCCCGGCGGAATTTTTGCGGTGTGTTTGTTACGATTTGAAAAGTACCTGAACAAATGTCCTGTTTCCCCGGGGTTCGGCCATTTTGATGCTTGTGAATCCTCGCGCTGACCCTAGCGAAGTTTTTTTTTTTTTTTTATGGGAAGGAACAATATTGAAGAGCGTGACGAGAGTGGATGAGAATTACCTCTCACACTGTGATATAACGGGTCTTCAAATCGACGTTTCCTTCTTGTTCTTCTTCATGATGATGATGATGATGAGCCCGTTGGCTCAAGTCGGACGGCGAAAAGGGCCACTAAGCTTTTTTGATTTCGTTTTGATTCTTCCCTTCGCAAGGGCGGGTTCATTTTGTGCGCGGAGCATATGAGTGAACTGTGGTTGGTTGCCAGGTAACGTTGCCGCTCTCTCCCCGATCCGGTTTGTTTCCTCTCGACCGCATAATCTCGCATGAGAATTAATAAAAATTGAGGTGAACTCCAGCAAAGCATTGCCTTTTGCGATTCATTCTTCAAATTGTGTCCGTTTCATCCTCGAGGGTGTCCAAAAAGTTACTGTGCTGCTGGGAAAGTCAGCAAGTCTTATCAGATGGAAGCCGTGCAGAAGTGCGTTGATATTGGTTGTGGAAATTTTTATGAGCTTTTGAAGATTTCTCTGATGGAGGGAAAGTGTAGAAAAAAATGTGTATTGTGATCTAAAGAGGATTCCGCCAAGAATTTTCCCTTGCAGCAGAGACGGGTCACGTGTCTTCCCAACAGATCAAAATTGAAATGGACCAGTTATGTCTGTGCCAGTGACACCTACCCACTTTGACCGTATTCCTTGTATGATGGACGAGCTGTAGGTAAAGTATGCAGTAGTTCTGTAAATTCTGATGCCAAATTTCTCTCTACGTCGTAGTTTTGTACACCCTGAACCTAATGAAGAAAAGAAGTAGATAACCTGTGGTTGTGGCACCGCGAAGGAACTCAATTCGCTGGTAATCATAGCTGCAAGCGGAGGGAAGCCTGTACTTTTTCCAGGAGGAAGCCGTGAATCATGGACGAATTCATCACGATCGTCACTCCAAGATATGTTCCTGTAGAAGCGAACTGTGTCGTCTCTCGTCAATCTATTTTGGCGACCAGGTCTTAATTTTTCACGGTGTTCTTCCCTGATGGGACACTACTTCAAGGGTCATGACCGCAGTTCCCGTCTCCAGTTCTACTGCCAAAATGGAAGAAGAATCCGTCCGTTACAGAATGGCGTGGGTCCGTGGAAAGAAGGCGGAAGGTGTTAAAACTCGAAAAATTGTTTTCCAAGGGGAACGAATCGGTTTTTTGTTGCTTATGGCTCTGCAAGTCGTTGGACTATTTCCGTTGAAAGTTTCTCTGGCTCCGAATTGGACTGGGATTAAAGGATCCTGTTGGCCGCTTTTGTTGACGGAAGAACGAACGACGCGACGGCTGGGTTCCCTTCGTTGGGTCTATACGGCATTCACGACATCTTTGATGATCACCAGTCTAATTTCGCAAGTACTGTAGAGGACAGAAATTCTTCGCTAATTTATAAAAGTTCGCGCTGCGGTTCACGGTTGCTTCTTTGCACTAGGCGACATCAGTTGGCAAAATCATATCGGAAAATTTCCGCATGGACGATGGACATCAAGATGATTTACTCGCTCTCATCAACGATGATCTTAATAATATTATATATTTCAACATTGTCTTGTTGAATGCCATTGCCCTGGGCCTCGTCGCGTTGGTGAAGGATGCAGAAGTTTTTAGGTGAGTTTTTATAGCGAGGCGTGGGAAGTTTGTGCACATGAAAAGAGCTGGAAAAGAAGCAAGTACAGGACTGTACAGTAACAGACAAGTAATAAGGTTCATGAGTTGATTTTTCCGATGTCTGTTTGTTCCTGGCAACTGTTGTTTTGGTTCTTGGTCTTTTTGTGCATTCCCATTTCAAATATCATCTCATGCGAGAGAAAGTTCGTTTGGGATTCGATTTTTGTTTGCTTTCTTTTTTATACTCCACCTTCTGTGAACTCACTCTTTTGTGGCTCGCGGTTTTGATACAGTTATTATTCAATGAACTCATTCTTTTGGGCGCTTTGTACATTGTACTGTATACGCTCTTTTCGAACCCGCTTTTTTGTGACATAGCTGAAGAGTGGATCTAATCGTAGATATATGGTTCGCCTTGGATTTTGCATTTTTTATCGCGTTTGCTTCCCAGTTCGAGTGCATTAATTGTTCGCAATTTTTGTCTGGAGGTGTGCTAGCGATTTGTGCGAAAATTGGTCGAGAAGAATCGACATCGTAGAAACCGATTCTGTTGATGTCCCGGATCTGAGGCACGCTTCGAAATATTATAAAGACGGCGTTTCCGTCATTACATCCGAAGATAATAGGAACTATGATCACCAAATGAAGTCAACATCCCGTGTCTTGAGGAACTTCAAATCGGGTGTCATATTTGCGCTAGAATTACTTCTCATCTTCGGAACGCCGTTATTGCTGCAATGGAGTTTGCTGTACAATGCGAACGTGGATCCCACTGCTGAGCTGGTCACGCATAAATCGGCTTTGATTGAACTCCACGGCTTTGCGTATGGGTTCAGCGAAAAACAAAAGTAAATGCGTTTCTTTAAAATGTAAAAACTACTCGGTTCATGATGTAAGTCAAATTTGTCTATTTATTTCTGGTCTCTCATTCTGGTTGTTCCCTCTCTCATGCCTTACCTTGCTCTCTGAACTACTATACTGTACTACAAAGTCAATGCCATCGGAAAATGCCGACCGAGATTGAACAGACATAACAGAACCATGCCGAGACATGTTGTGGTACTGTATAAGCAGACTCAATAATAGAGTTTCACCTCACGCACGCTGAGCTTTTCTTAAACCTCATTGATCAACAAGAGATTTAGGCGACATCCATTTGAGAAATTAATGCATTTGAAAATGAAGACGAAGAAGGCCTCGAATTGACGATAAGATATTCAGCATTCTTCGGATTTTCGTTTGTCATGTATAGGTACGGTTTTGGGATGAAGGCGTATCTGTCATATTTGATAGTCTTGAGCCATCTTGGATTTGTTGGACGTCTGACTGGATTCATCGCTTCTTGCCTTATCGTGAATAAATGGCTCGCGAGTTGGAAAGTTCATCTATTCCTCGCGCTGGGGCGAAGTAAGACCTGCTGTTCTTTATCCTTGTATATTCTTCGCGCTATTGAATACACCCGAACCTGGAAATACCCGATATTTCAGAAGAAAACGAGCCCACCTTTCTCCAGCTCCGACGTTACAAGAGAACGGATGCCCACGTGAAACCGAAGTCTTTGGAAGAGTTATGCTGGGAAATGCAGGAAATGTCGAGCGCGATCCACAACATCCAAGAAATTTATGCTCCTATTTTATTGCTGTACATAGGAACTCAGGTTATGGGTTTCAGCTTTGGAATGTACAGCTTGATCAGGAAACTTATCGAGATGAGCAGCAGCTCGGATTCATCTACGCATATGCTGCCACAGGTTGCAGTCATGTTCGTTGAACTGACCCACAATTGGAGCTTGTTTTTGTGCGTCACGTTGATAGCTGCCAGGATTCCTTCTCAAGTAAGTTAGATATGCATTATTCCCCACGCAGAAAAAAAAAGGTTCTCGGAGTTCAGAACATGGGGGTGAAGAAGGTATTCCTTTCAATTTGATGAGCACGTTTTCTGTTGTATTTTGTGTTTTCAACTCGGCAGATCACTGAAGCAGCAGATCTGATGAGAGGAGGAGAAATCGGCTCGGAGAGGGAGGATGAGATTTCTCTTGATGCGGTGTGTTCGAATTTCAAGACAGGGTGGATCATAGGAGAGTTATTCGTAAATTTCCAATCGACGCACTACTTTTCAGCATGAGAGTTGGGAGTTTGTACCTAGTACAAGACCTAAATGATGGCTCAATTTCATTCACAGTATCTTCGATCTTATTTTTTAAACATTCAATGTGACATATTTATTATGGATACGATGTTCAAAGAAAAAAACTTCAATGCAGTATAGCTTGATTTTCCAGCATGAATGCTGAAAAAAAAAGGTTTTTTAGATTTCAACTTTACAGGCTTTCATGGTACTGCTATGTTCCATGTAGCTTTCGTCGTGCTTGATGTTACTGTCATGACGGCTATTTGGAAAGAAGCATTTTTAGAATGTGCGAAATTTTTAGGTTGTGCTCGCATTCCACCGAATTGTACTAGCGAGTGGAATGCAAAAAGAATTCGTAGAATTTTTATAATAGAGGGAAAAAACGTTTATGAACTAATTGACTGAGATGCGCACTACGCAGCGAATTTCAAATGATCTAATTATTATTAAAAACTTTGTCAACTTTATAGCTGAGTAGTCTGTGTCTCAAATAAATACAACACCGTATTCTGATCGGAAATGAACTAAAAATCTCGAATCCGATTTTGCAAGGTCTTTTTCTCTTCCTACTTTATTCATATTTTTCGGAAGTTTAAAATTTTTCTGCCCCAATTTTTCAATGCATTTTAAAATTACCATACATTTTTTGAAGTCTTTGACGTTGAAATTGCTTCAAAAGCGTGCTTTAGAATGACCAAATTATCCATGATTAAACAGTACTTGTGAATATAAAAGAGGAACGATGGTTGAATTGCAATTTATGTACAGTATTTCAGCTCTGAATGCAGACTTTAAGCTTTTTGAACCCGATTTAAAAATCGGACTGTGTTTCTGTAGAAGAATCTGTACGAACTGTTCTGGTCTGCTCTGAATGTTAGTTTTTTTCTTCAATTTTGTATTTTACTTGCATTTATTAGACTTGTTTATCGTTATATAATCAGTTTCATGAACAATTTTCCGTGCAGGTCAATATCATATCGAATTCTCTGGGTTCGGACCTTGCTTTGTCTGCCAGGCACTTCGTTTCCTTTCATAAGTCGGTCGTAATTCAGGTATGGCTTTGTGAATGTCCGAATGATGTTAATCAGTGCATGAAGCGACGCGTGAGGCCCTTTTTTTTCCGTCACCAGGTCATAGGAGGAGTTGTGACCTATTTCGTCATCTTGCTCCAATTTCAACCCGCTGCTGCGTAGATATATAGCCCTAATCGTCGACGATGGTGGATGTGGAATCGAGGAAAAAGCCTACGGATTCCAGGTTCAAGACTGAATTTCACGTACTGACTTGCGTAGCACGCTTATATATATGGGCAAGGAGTACCGTATAGGTCACGGAAGTCCCGGAGAAGGAATATTCGGAGGAAAGTCTTTAAATTTAGTTTTTGGATTGCTTGGGGAACACCTACGTTGAAGGCCATTCTTCAAGTACTTTATGCTATGCTGAATATACTGGGTTCTGAAAATTTTTTTAAATATCAGTAGGAATTCTTCGGCTTGATCAAATGTCGCGGCTTATCGGTTCGTGGATTCCAGTGAGTAATGAGGGAATATTTTTCCCTGCGAGCGTTAATTGAGGCTAATCAGGTGAAATCGTTTGACGCATCCCATAATAAAAAAAATTGTCTCAATCTCTTTTGAATTCGATTTCCTTTGTTATGTTTCGAATATTTTAAATCAAGAGTAAAAGTAAAACGTAAGTATCACGCAGAACACAGGGTAATTGCGACCGCAGTAAGTGATCGGTCTTTCCTCTTTTGTGCAGAAGTTGGAAAATTTTAAGGTTCGTTGAAAGGATTTAAGCGTTTTACAGTCACATCCAAGCTTATTATTTACGATGCCTAAATGTTTTGTAGTATTCACTTTAGTGCTGGCTGAAGTGGATGCGATTCATGTGTATTGGTTGTATGCATATTTCATTTTCAGCGTTCAAGAAACTTTTTTACATTGTGTGTATATGATGAGGATGTTATTATAGTTATTGTTCCATTGTGAATGCCATACAAGCAGTGGGATATGTATTCGAAGTACACGTACCTGTAATTGGTTTGAAAATCGGCATTTCGTTTGCTGCTGTATTTTCTCAGCTTCACCGCGTCATTTTAATTGTTTCATTTTTGATATTGCTGTGTTCATCTTCGTTTGATAGGTTCCCTTTATTTTTCGTGTTTCTTATTTAGTAAGTTCGGGACTGCATGCTGCAGCAAGAAAAAAAGAAAACCCGTCATACTATGAATCAGAGGTAGACTACCGGTAAATTAAATGAACTGATCTAAATACTGTATAACACTGAACTGCTGAAGGAACTCATGTAAGCTAACTTAAACAAGCTTGCAACTACATAGCCTGACCGAAAGCATTTCGGTCATCATGTCATGTTCTCACCGGACTAACCCAACCTTTGACTCAATAAATTGTAATGTAACTCGATAACCAATCGTACCCGTAAGATGTCGTTTACGTGATGTCATAGTATACTGTACCTTGAATCATGGGTTTAGACCACTGGGCATCAGCATGTGAGCTGGAACATGTGAAATTGTTCCCTGTCATCAATTTTGAAAGTCTTGTTTCGACAAATTCTTGTATTCAGTAAAAGAAACTTGTTCTGAATACCGTAACTCCCCAACAGTTTCTTGCATAAGGAGATTTTATTGCTTATAATATCTCTCCATCAGTCAATGCTGGTTATTACATTGCATAGTGCTATTGAAGCGGGTTTGAACCGGATTTTCCGCGCACCGCGTATATGCGCGGATTTATGAATATTTGATGAGAGCATAATCAACGATGGGATTTGTTAACGTTGTGCTGCATGAGCGTAAGAGCCGCTGTATGTTGTTGAGTTTCAGCGACTCCATGTGGGAGGGAGAGGGAATAAATCATCGCCGACTCCCTTTTGCGGCGCAGTCCCATGATGGGCGACTTTGTTGTCTCCCGCCTTGACGGTCGTCTCGTACGGAATACATTCTTTTTTTTTATCGAAAAATAATTTTTCTGACGTTTTCCGGGGACGCCGCTTGATTCCTTTTCTTATTCTCTGCTGTTCGTGGGGGTTTTTCTCGGCTCGGGTTATTACTTGGAGTTCCGGGCGGGTCTCGTGATGACTCCCCACGAAAGTCGTGTCGCACGCCCTTGTACTACAAACTGGTGAACAACTCGCTGACAAATTCTCTTATCGTGTCATTACATTTTTTATTGTCCTCTCTTTTTTGACGAATTAATTCAAAACTTTTCCCTTCAACTGTGTGTGCGTAAAGAAAAAGTGGGATAAGTAATATTATTATAACTGCAGGCAGAATTATATGCTTGACGTAACTCTGTTCAAAGGGCGTTTATGCTCGAATATTCGACACTTATTGTCAAGTGCACGAAAATGATTGTGAGGTTGCACGGCGTGGAGTGTTGAGAAGTTTTTTTCACATGATCTCGAGCATTGTGATTAATTTAGTTATTATGTGCAGCATAGAATATTGTCATTATAACTAATTAGTGAAAATTGTTCTTTCTATAACTATATACTAAAAGTCTGTACTTGCTGATATGAATGCTATATACATTACTGTACTCCATCTTCTTCCTCGCTTGAAACCGTGTTTCGCGGAAATGTTTAAGGGATATCAAGGTCGGATTAAATCAATTGTACAGCATGGGATCATGCGCAATAAAATCTACTGCAGTACTGCGTCCATTTAATCCCAGCTTGCTGTTCCAGTGTAAGTACAGTGAGACCCATGTGGACACCTTGACGTCCGGATGATTTGGCATACAGAGGGACATTTATTTTCCAATAAAAAGGCCCAAATTGCGGACACTGACTTGACATGGCAACATTGCAGGATAAAATTGGAAATAAGTTTCAGGAAAAGTGACTTTTATATCAAAACGAATTTGTATGAAACGGGTACAGTATTTCCATCAACTTTGAGATCTATGCAAGAAAAATTCTTCTGTATTTTCCTCACCATTTTCCCATTCATTCAGCTAATTAATCAAATTACCTCCAGCCTAGAGGGACTTCCTTCTCTCTTGGTGATGAATGTTATTTTTTGGGATGCATTCATTTCAATATACTGTACAGAGGCACAGTATTCAATGCCTTAACTGTTCTTATTGAGTCAAAATATATTCAATGAATTAATTTCAATTAGCAGACAATTTTTTATGGGTCAAGTTCTGATGAATATTTCTTCCATAAAACACATTATATTTAAATTATATAATGTAAGTCCATGGGAAAATGAGACTCAACATATAGGGACATTTAAACTTAGAGGCACTCTTGATGAACAAATTACATCTGCATTTTGCGGTCTCACTGTCTCTGACATCATCACAATTACATTGTTGAGTCATAATAATTTCCTTTTGATGCTGGGAGATACAGCTAGTGGGACCCCAGCATGCGGATGCCTGATATACTGATTATTTTATATAGAGGCTGTTTTTCATTGCAAAAATTCACCTCATTGACATCCCTTCAATGTCTCATGTCAAGGCAGTACAGAGTATACAGACAATTTTCAAACATTTTTAGAAAAATTGAATACTTTCACATTTTCATATTTGTTGAACAAATTTATTCAGCACTCATATCTGTTACAAAATTGTAGATACATCTAATTGTGAAATTACTTTGATTCAATCCAAAAGCAGGCTATTTTGCTTATTTTTTTCTGTTTTTCTATGTTTTGTGCTTAAGGTATAAACAAGTAGCTAAACTTGTCCTTGTCCTTGCTATTCTTTCAAAAGATCAGATTCTGAGTGGTTTTCTTCTTTACATGCAGGGTATTTTCTGTATCTTTTGAAGTTGAGAAAATATTTTTATTCGATTTTTTGGGACTGTACAGTATTCCTAATCTTTGATGAACAAGAGAACCAATTAAATGCTGCATGTTCCAATTGAATTCTATGAGAAAATGTGATCTTTTCCCCTGTGATTCCCGTAATACCCTTCTGCCTGTATTATCCTGGGATAAAAAGAATACAATATATAGTGAAAATCGATTAATTGCCCACAAGCGCTTGCTCTGCTTATGCTGTAGTAAATTTTACACACCCTGTATTCATACATACTGTACATGTAGAGGATGCTCTCTTTGCAACAGCAACAAAAATCAAGTGACAGGCATTTTTTTTTCAAGGAGAATTTTGTCACCCGGGGAAATAACCCTAATATATGGGTGTAGCATCCAAAAATATTCGCTAAATGACGAAAGTAGTTCTCAAAACCCATTTTGTGTTTTTAAACTGCTCTGTAGTCATACCTATAATAATAGTCGAATATTTCAATATTTTGCATCATTAAAATCAGCAACGGAGCTCGTTATTTGCGACTAATTACGAGTGAGAAAGCTCAACCCTCGTCGTGTTTCACAATGCTGT